TTTTTTTTCATCTCATGCAAAAGCAGACTCTTCTTTCCATTGATCCGAACGCTTTCCTATGAATAGCTTACTTTTTGTGTATGGACGATTTGGAATGGGATTTCGATTCTCATTTCCCAGGATTTTCAGAAATTCCTCCCGTCTAAATCCCCCTCCTCATCTCCCATTCTCAGTGATAGGGGGTTCGGCGGTCTGGAAAACCTGGGAAGTTCGGGGAATATAGGGATTCACAGGAAAAGTCAGAGAATTTTAGGAGCAGCGTTTAGCAGAAGTATGCCTTATTAAAACGAACGAAAGCAAAGTGGCAGCTTTATCCAATGGTCAGAAAAATCAGAGCATTGGAAAATTTTTGATTCTACAGTTTGATTCACCAAATCAGTCCATAGTGCCACGACTACCTGGCAATCTGGCCTAGGAGGGACTCCAAAGCGGGGTCGGATAAACTGAAGTCAGCGAGCGGTGGAGCAACGTTAACCCAGCAGAGAAAGCTCTCGGTGTAATTTCTCCGTGTTAATTGCATATTACTAAAGTAACAGTATTGTTTGCCTCGTCGGTTTATCCACTCTGTATTTTAGTCCCGCATCAGTATAGACGATAATCCTAAAGCTGTCTCTCGTCAACGCCACCTTTCCAATAGTCCTAAGTGCCAGTCCAGTTGAGTAGCAGAAGTTTCTCCCGTTAGGATCCGAAAAACCATGAACAATTTTAAAAGTCCAGGGTGTCTACAAGTCCGGAAATAGTACCGATTTTTTACGGGCGGCCCGGAAGTACCGCAAAAGTGCGGAAATTCCGCCAGAAGGTCCGGATTTTTTTTAATTTTTTGTCATTTTTGTCGCAATTTCAAATTTTTGAATTTTTTCTAATTTCGTCAAATGGAGGTACTGAAAAATTACGGAATTTTTCTGTTTGAAAAGGTACTGAATTTTTTGAGAATGTACTGAAAAAGTACTGTGAAAGTCCTTAATTTTGACCAGTCTCTTTTAGTAGACACCCTGAAGTCTGTCAATTTTAAAAAAAAAAGTGGGAAAGGTAGGAAATTTTGACAGCCCTTGGTGAAGGAATCGTTTTACTTAGTTCCAAGATTCCTGCTGAAAAAGTTCAGATACGCTGGAAAAGTATTTAATGGATTCTGAAAAGTCTGCTAAAAAAAGCGGAAAAGTACGGAATTTCTTGGAGAAGGACAGGAATTTAGGAATGTAAAAATCGTCTTTAAGTTATACAATCGCTCTAAATTTCTGAGATCATTATGCTCCATTTCCATTCTTGTAGTATCAGTTTTCTCCACCTCTAATTACGAATTTCTGAAACTTGTAGGTCAAATTTTGAACAAGCTATATATTCTTGTATCTGAAGAAAAAAGTATTCCCTTCTTAGAGCTAAAAATTTTAAAACGTAAAGAACACGTGTAATAGAGGCACGTGAGATCTGTTATCACCGCCACTTATTAGATGAAGGTAGACCGTGCGGTTTTGCTAACTTTGACCCAGGTTATCCGGCACGAAACCTAGCTCGCCTTCATCCAGGAGCGTAGGCAAAAGGAGTTCCTACGCGTCGATAAAGTCGCATCTCCCGAGTTCGAAGGAGTTCAGAAAGCGGAATCCTCCTCTCTAACGAAGATCGGTCGTCAAAAAGCGGATCTTTTTAGCACTGACGTACATCTTCGCCAAGAAATACGAGGGGCGTTCAATAAGTAAGTATCCCCCCTCTCTAAAATCCATAAGAATGGACCAATTTTAAAAAAACTTGGGCTCAAAATCTTCCTTAGGATATTTTGAGTTCAACAAAACAAACCGCAACAAAATCGGACTATGTGCGGCCGAACGCGAGCCGTTTGAACGCGCCGAGGTGCTCGACGCTCCCGCCGAATCTGCGAGGATTTGAAGTCCGCTACAGGAGAAGAGCTTCTCTGCCAAAGCCTCAGTCGTTCATCACTGACGAAAAATCAAAGAAATTTTTGTAGAATAAGGGGCTTACCTCACTTCTCCACATAACCAGCTCGATCCAAGCAAGTCTGATACTGAGACTAAGACTAAGAGAATAGCTTTTGGATGCCACGCGCGTAGTAGTCTTTCAGCTGACCGCGGATGAAAGAGTGGACGGCTTGTTTGACCTCTTCCACTGATTCAAAATTAACTCCTCCAAGTTCAGATTTCAGATACGATAATAAATGGCAAACCAGACCACCATTTATTCCCGTTCCTGAAATCTGAACTTGGAGGAGTTAATTTTGAATCAGTGGAAGAGGTCAAACAAGCCGTCCACTCTTTCATCCGCGGTCAGCTGAAAGACTTCCACGTACGAGGCTTCCAAAAGCTGTTCTCTTAGTCTTAGTCTAAGTATCAGACTTGCTTGGATCGAGCTGGTTATGTGGAGAAGTGAGGTAAGCCCCTTATTCTACAAAAATTTCTTTGATTTTTCGTCAGTGATGAACGACTGAGGCTTTGGCAGAGAAGCTCTTCTCCTGTAGCGGACTTCAAATCCTCGCAGATTCGGCGGGAGCGTCGAGCACCTCGGCGCGTTCAAACGGCTCGCGTTGGGCCGCACATAGTCCGATTTTGTTTCGGTTTGTTTTGTTGAACTCAAAATATCTTAAGGAAGATTTTGAGCCCAAGTTTTTTTAAAATTGGTCCATTCTTATGGATTTTAGAGAGGGGGGATACTTACTTATTGAACGCCCCTCGTATTTGGGGACATTTTTCTACAAATGTCTAAAAACTCTTCGTTTGTTACGATTTTTGAATTTTACCTTGAGTGTATAGTTCAACAAGGGTATATGAAACTCTTCGAAGAGCTAATTGTGAGTTTACAGAATTTTCCACAATTTGTTTGTGTTATATGGTTTGGCTAAGAATAGATTGAAAATGTGAAAAACTTTACCGCCTTATGACGTCGTAGGGCAGCATATCTCACTGAAACTCATGTATTTTAGCAAGATGGATCATTCTATCCTAATTCCTGCAACAAGTAGTTGTTCAGTAGTTATGAGTGAAACTATAAAATTGTAAACACTCGAAGATTATCTATTCGAATTCACAGAAAAATTTACTTTTTAGTCGCATCGAGAAAAATAATATGCTACTTTAGCAACAAGGAATCGAGGTTGTCAAAAATGTGTGGTCATCTCTAAATTCTGGCTCGACTGTCAATGCAGTTAAGTTTGCTTGCCCAGGATGTAAAGCAGGGGTAGTCAAGCGATCATCTGATGATCTGCCATCCTAGCATTGTATTTTTTACGGAGCGGTGAAATGTCGCGCGGACGCAGTTCTGAAGCAACTGCAATACCAGGTCTCGTGCAGTCGTGGCAACAGTGGCCTCAGTTTTGGATTAGTCTCACAATCAGTCAAGTAGGACGATCAGCGTCGGCTCAGCGTGGAGTTGTATCATAATCCGACAGTTAAACGCGCCGGGCGTCGCGCAGTAAAACGTGCCTCGGAAGAGGTCGAACATGACATTTTTTACTGAAACCATAGATTTTAACGGCTATTCACACAGTAAATTTTGTAAGGGGTGTTCCGTAATGAAAATTTTAAGAGAAAACCAATAGTAGCACACGAATCTCCAAAGTTCATATTAATGAAAATTATGAGGCTTTAAAGTTTCTGTATTCAGGGTGTCTACAAGTCCGGAATTTCCGGTAAGTCCGGAAATAGTGCTGATTTTTTAAGGGCGGTCCGGAAGTACTGAAAAAGTGCGGAAACTCCGCAAAAAGGTCAGGATTTTTTTTTTTTAATTTTTTTGTCATTTTTGTCGCAGTTTCAATTTTTTTAAATTTCGTGAAACGGAGGTACTGAAAAAGTACGCAATTTTTCTGTTGGAAGAGGTACTGAATTTCTCGAGGATGCACTGAAAAATTACTGTAAAAGTACTTATTTTTGACCAGCCTGTTCTAGTAGACACCCTGGTATTATGTTCGATCTATCTCGTCGAATCGTTCCACTGTGCGGTGCGCACCCGCAGCTCGTAGCCTAATTAACTATGCGCGCAAGCGTCGAACGTCGAGCGTCCCTTTCCGCCGTCCGTTTCCCGATTGAAGAAACTCTAGACATTGAACCGGAAATCGGTTTTCGGCCCCCTCCCCTCCCGCCGTCGTCGCACTTCTATTTCGTCCTGTTCCGTCGTCCTGCAGTTACAGACGAACCAGGATGCTGAGCGCGAAGCAGGTCAGGCTAAAGACCTTTGCTTACTACTAATATCAATATTTTCCGCAATATCTCAAGGCCACTCCGTTAACGAATTTCCGTCGATATTTAGCAACCCGCTAAATAAACTACATTTTGCAAATAGGAAAAATGATTTCTTGTTCGTACGTGCCTCCGTGGCCAAGGAAAAACGTTGAAGGAAGGATCATGGAGAAGAAAGTGGACCCTACGTGTCGAAATAATTGCACATTCACAGATTGAAGGGATCGTACCTTTTTTCAGTTCTCTATACGTTAACTGGTGTAAGGCGTATGTACTTGTAGTCCGCCTTCATCTGGGCGAGTAGTCTAAAATAGCTCCCATGCGTCGAAACAGTTGCATCCTCAAAGATTGAAGGATTTCAGGGAGTGGGAACCTCCTCGCTGACTTAGTTAGCTCTAGAGCGAAAGTATTAGATCGGTCGTTGGAAAGCGGATTTTTAAGTCATTACCGAAGATCCGTATTGAAAAAAACAAAAGGATTCGTCTCTATCAATGTCCAATAATAACTCTTCGTTCGTTACGATTTTTAAGTTTCCTCCGTAGCGCTCTGAAAAAAACCAGTCCGAAGCATAGATTGTAGAATCAATATCCCGTACAGATAACTTTATTCAGTGAACACCAATCAAACAGTCGTTAACACTGATGATGCCACCACAGGGGTTTTCCTCCGTTGTGTATATAGAATTGAATCCAACAATGACCATGATATTTCATTTATACGAATGATGATAAATGGAAAATATCATTTTCCCTAACATAACACCAATAACTCCTATTTTAACTCCTGTTTTCATTCTGGGATTTTTTTTCGTTGTTTCAGGTAGCTTAGTCACGCCAGCCATGCCCGGTGGAACGCCTGCCTTAAAAGCAAAAGTAAGTTTTGATATAACTTTAAAGTGCATGCATTTTATCTTCAGTTGTGCTTGGTATAGAATCGTGTTATTATTTTAACAAATAATAGGAGACGCCGATGCGCCAAGTTTATGCGTTCAAAAACCTTGAGTATAGACTGTTTATATTTGTTTTTTTAATTTATTAATTTTAATATCAAATCATTTTATTGACTCCTATAAACTTTTATTTAGGCATACATTCTAAATTGATTTTTATTCGCCTAATATTTTAGCTTCTACCAGCAGAACACGATTCTATGTCCAGCACAAGTGACAATCCCTTGTGTATCATTATCCTGGGTTGCTACAGTCAGGGAAAATGTCTGGGAATTTTAAAAAGTCAGGGAAAACCGGGAAATGGGTTTCAGGACATTCCGTCAACGATTTTTTGTCCACGCACCTGTTTTGTCCAGTAGATTACATCCATGCGTAAAATAAGCAACAGTGACTTGGTTCAAGCATCATATTTAAGTCCGATTTTAAAATTATGTCGACAATATCGAAATGAGAAAATAGATCGTATTCGATACATCAAACGGGTGAGATTGTATCGATATCGATTGGTTCAAAACATAAACATAGCCTCAAAAGTAAATTCAGAAATCTGAGAGAACGGATCTTTTGAAACAGATTTTTTATTCTTTTGAGTACCAAATGCCAATGCAAAGTGAAATTGTCAGGAAATTTCTCATTTTCAGCTTTTCCAATTAAAATCCTTACAGTTTGGTTTGAGGTTATGTTCTATTGTTTTGAACCAAACGATACATCGAACCGTTATCGAAGACGGTCTATTGAAAGAGAAGGAGGTGTTGTTATGGTAACTAATTTTTTAAATGAAATGTTACTTTCTTCTTGTGATTCATCTCAGTAAAACGTAGCAAACATTTGTAAAACATTTTCAAGCGATGGCATCGATATTAATATCTCAATGAGTCGTGTGTTGAAAGGAACTGTATAAAAATGAATAAAAGAGGGAAAAAACCAAAAAGCGCGCAATCTTTGGTTTTAACCCGTTTGTACATCGATCTGTTAGAATCAAATACGTTTAATTTTGAGCGTTTGGTTGCGCTGTAGCACAGTAAAAGCACAAAATATGAAAGAAAAAATTAGAGGGCTTTGAAAATCATTAAATTTGACACGGAAACACCTAAATATTTACAGAATACACAATATATTTTCCTTTAGTACATATCTTTTTTCATCAATTTAAATGAGAATAATCCATGCAGAGTGTGCAAGCATTTCAAAAATCATGAGTTGAAAATAGCTGACTCTGCGAGTTTAAATATTAGAGCCAAACAGAGCGGAGTGGCGCGCAGCCAGCGCGAGAGGCTCACTGGCGCCTACAAACCTAACGGGATACTTCACGCATTGCGCAATGTTTGAAGTATCTACTTAGGTTTGTAGGCGCCAATGCGCGTTTCGTGCTGGCCGCCCGCTCGCCGTGCCGCGGCATGGCACCTCAAGCAACTATTTCACAACAGAGGTGTTGCATAGTATCATTCGAAATTGAACGCGCCCCAACATATGAAGAATGACGGGCATCCTTTAAGAAAACGCAGCGTTCTCCGCAAAATAAATCAAGATGCTACGGCACAAAAAGAGAGCGGTAGTCCCAAAACGCATCAAGTCCTAGCATCCGTATTCAATAAAGTTTAGCATTCCTATCACATTTCATTAGAGGAAAAAGTGACTCGATTTAGGCAGAAAAATGTTTGAGTATGCCGTCAAGAATATTTAATTTTGAGTCTCAATAATAATTGGTACGTGGACCAAAACTCCCCTGCCGAAAAAAACGCGAGGACGTAAACTACTGGGAAAAATAGGTGCGCTGACAAAAAATCCTTGACAAAATGTCCTATAACCGGGTCTACGTGAAAATTCATGTACGCTCTGACGTTAGGGGAGCGGCGATTATTCGATAATGATTCAAGTATCGACCGGCTGGTGCCAACGTCGAACAATTTTCAGAGAGGAAAAGGGTGTATTGACCATCACCACAATCGGGAAATAATGTCCTTTTCAATGGAAAAAAAGGGCTCATTCTTTCTCTTCGCTATTATTTTTATGAGGATGTTTAGGAAGGAAAATCATGCAAAGGAACAATAAAGCACCGGATGGGGAACAAGCTTTGAAGTGTTGCAGGTAATTTTCCCGATCGCAGTTATCTCCTGTATAGATAGGCATTATCCTCCCACAGACCGTGAATCGGTCAGCCCACGCTTTTAATTTTGAAAGCTCGCGAAAGTGACAATAGACTCGACTATAGCGTTGCTATTTTTGAGTATGCAGGGGAAAATACCCACGTTCCAGAAAAAAAGAGGTGGCACGCGGTGAAATTAATTTTTGTGCCGATAGCAGGCCTGAAGTTGAATTTTAATCAGATAGCTCCGTTGAGTCTCAAACAAAGCGAATCAACAAGTTTCAAAAACTTCCTTTCATACTCAGGTTTTTTGAGCTGCAAACTACAATCCGCCCTATCTCCGATTTGGCTCTTTGTTTTCCAGCATGTTGCAAGGCAAAATTTGCGCGAAATACCCCAGCGGCTTTAATATCCAGGATGTCCGCCGTACGAAAAAAGAAAGGATTCGCCGGTGTGGAAACCGATATTTTTCCGGAAAAAGTCGCCACCTTGGAAAGGATTGGGGATTTTGACAAACTTTGCGTCAAATTCATGCTGAAGTGTCCGAAAATATCCACTGTTACCAGTTTTAAAGCAAATTCGTTTTAGACTCGTTCAAGTCTTAGTCTCCGGCAATTGCAAGAAAGTGCTGGGTATTTTGAAAAATTAACATCTTTGTGTTCAGCATTCTAAAAAACCTTCGGTCATTAAGTTTGAAGAAAATCCGCTCATAGAATGCGGATGCTCAGTTACTTTCTCGGCTATTTTGAACTTCAACTGTCCCCCATTTTGGAACCGTGGTTGATTGAGACTTGAACTTGATGTCAAAAATTGTCTATTTCCATAATCTTTCCAACGATAAACCACAAAGTAGGAATTGTATTTTGAAGGAAAAGGCAGATCTAAGGCTTCTCCTGGGGAAGGGGGGGGGCACTGACATTTTTGGGAACCAAAAATATTCCCTTTTGACCCAGGAACACCCCGATGGGTTCAACTTCGTAGCTCTACATTAGCAAAAAAGATATCGGCGTTGAAGAGACTGGTGGATTATATTGTATCGAGTCAGGAAGAATCCTTGGAGGGCATGCATAAAGTACTCTGCCTTGCCAAGGGAAAATGCCGTATGAGCCTTAAGGCGCTGCCAAATTACCTTTAGTAAATCACTAATTTTCGGGAAAATTTGTAAATATTTTTCTTCCAATGTTTTAGGTAATTTTGCTCGCAATTTCACCTGGAGTTCCTGAAAATTTTAAGGGAAAGCATTCACGGCTTTCCTCAAAATTAAACATTTCATCGAAGGAAATTTGGCAACTCTCGAATGTTCATGGGGAGTTCTTCCTTAGCTCGGCAGTACTGCTGTGCTTAGGAAAAGCGCCGTATGAGCCTTCAAACGTTGCCAAGTTTCCTCCAATAAAAACCGAATTTATTGGGAAAATTGCGAATATTATTTTCCAACATTTTCAGACAATTTTTTACGCAATTTAATCTAAAATATCTGAAATTTTCAAGGAAAAATATGCCGGACTGTTGTAAAAAATACGTGTTTTATCAAGGGAAATTTGGCAACTCTCGAATGTTCATACGGCGTTTTTCCTTAGCTCGGCAGTACTAATGTGCGACTCCGAATCCCGATTCGAAGAGAGCTGTCATGTCCGAACAATAATGGGGTTGCAACTCCAGAAATCCACACACCACGGACTGTAACAAAACGAAGCATTGAAGCAGTCATCAGCGTTTAAGCACAAGTATATCTGTTTCCGGTATTTACTCGCAATAATGAATACTTGTGTGGATCTCGCATCGCCAGCGCACAAAATCTTGGGTGTGGCTGCGTCAAATTCTCCTCTTTCAAATCGTCTCTCTCTTTCTCAAACGTAGACCCGGATCCCCGCACAATGCATAATGCATGCACCGTTTTACCGTTACCCTTTTCATAGCTTTTCACGGTCGCCGGCGACCAGAAAAAACTCTCAGGAATTATAAGGAAAAATATTGAAGGCCTCCTTGAGCGCGCACCAGATGCCGTCCTTCCTCAGTTAAGTAGAAATGTGATGTTTTTGACCCGATTCTCGGCTTTTTCCTCCCTTCAAAATTTATCTGTTTCAAAGTGAAGACCAATGTCGGTCTGGCTCGAAAATTCTTGGGGTCCTGATACGTTTTATGGGCCCCTACTTTCGGGTACCCCCCCCCCAACTAGCCTACAGTCCTCCTATATATGGGTTTCTCAAGTTTTTAGGGGCCCCCTGATCCACCCGTTAGATTTTTGGTGCTGAAGCACCATCCCAGGGCCCCTGGCCGGACAGGTTTCGTTTTTCGTGGCCTTATTACTAAGCACACCGGAGATTATGAAAATCCCAGCTGATATGAAGCGTATCAATTTTTTTCCTCTTGTTGTTGTCGTCGTTTCTACATCATCGCCATATTTCAATTTCAACTTGGGTGTGCAGGCCGACTTTGGCGAGAAACGCGGGTCGAATAGCAAAAACTCCGCATTTTTGGTCATAATCGGCTTTCAGTCCCATGCCTAGGCCAGTAATAGACCCTAAGAAATACCGGAAATGACTAAATCATGATGCATTTCGTTACAAAGGTCATGCCTTTCACCGAAATGTTTCCAGAATGTTTCTGCGACGAATATATGGGGCTGATACCTCACTGAAATGTGTTGGAATGGTATGGGAAACATCTATCGAACGTTTCTGTGAAAGGAAATTTAGGGGTGACATAGAGTTGTTTTAGAGACCTTTTCAAAACCGCTTGGACACATGATATGTTTTCAAGATGTTTCATTGAAATGTTTCAAAGATATTTTTTCCGATCAATGACACATTTTAAAAACATTTTCAATCCGACTTGTGCTAGCAGGGTACAGACCTTCAACGCGTGAAAAATCGTAGAGTTGAGGATATTCAGCGAGGGTGGGCCCATAAATGGCCCCTATCGATACCCCTCCATTGCTAGGAGTCGTGAATCATCAGAGAAAAGCGTAAGGAGTCGAGGAATCGGCAAATGAAGAAATCATAAGCACGTTGCATCGCGCCAAGAAGTCTACTTCGAAATCCTCGGACCCAGTCCCTATTTACCCCGCAGGTATCCACCGGGTCAACTAATTAATCCGCAAATCCTCAACTTACATGTTTAGGCGCCATCGGCGGAGGAATTGGGGAACGGCGCGTGGCGCGGTGGCGCCCCACCCGCGGATCCGGCCGCTGCATTTGTAGGTTCATTGTGAAACGCACGCCGCCGCCGGTCGAATCAATAAAACAACGGGGAAGCCGCAGACGGAGGGGGCTGGACAGGGGAGTCGCAGGGGGGGCGCACGGGTACGGGGGGCACCCCGACGCCCGACGCGTCGCGGTCGAATAACGGGCCAAGTTGCAAATGAGTCTCTTCTCCGTCGCGGCGCGCGGCAGCCGAAAGCGGTGCATCTGCCGGCCAAGAATCGGATGCTGATGAGAAGAGAGCAATCAATTCGGTGATCAGGTGAAGCCACGGTTCCAAGAGGCGCCGGCCACGAAAAGTCGGCCGCGCGACCGGGTGCAATGATTGCAGACCCGGCGACGTGGATCGCCTTTTCAATTGCAGGGCGTTTATCAGTCAGGGTGTCTACAAGTCCGGTAACAGTACTGATTTTTTCAGGGCGGTCCGGAAGTACTGAAAAAGTGCGGAAATTCCGCAAAAAGGTCCGGATTTTTTAAAAAAAATTGTCATTTTTGGCGCAATTTCAAATTTTTGAAATTTTTTGAATTTAGTCAAATGGAGGTACTGCAAAAGTACGGAATTTTTCTGTCAGGGGAGGTACTGAATTTCTTGAGAATTTACTGAAAAAGTACTCTAAAATTCCTTATTTTTGACCAGCCTGTTTTAGTAGACACCCTGATCATTTCGAAAATAGTACTGATTCTTAAAGGCGGTCCGGAAGTACTGAGGAAGTGCGGAAATTCCGCACGAAGGTCCGGAATTTTTTCCTTCATTCCACGCGTGTTTTTTAATAAAGCCTGGAAATAATGCAATCCCCTGCGCATTGATTTTTTAGGCGTATATGCCTGCAAGATCGCGATTGTGCAGTCGGTCAATCTTCAAGCCACCAATGAAATACTGTGGCTACGTCATTTTTGTCGCTATTTAAGTGAGAATTTCCAATTTTTGAAATTTTTCTAATGTCGTCAAATGGAGGTATTGAAAAACCACTGAATTTTTCTGTTGAGGATGTACGGAATTTATTGGGAATGGACTGTAAAAGTACTGATTTTTCGCAAGCCTGTTTTAGTAGACAACCTGCTCACCTAAAATCGATAGTTTGTTGCCAACCTCCAAAATCGCCCCCAGATCCCTAGAAGTACAACAGGCAGCTTTTGAAATGCTTCCCTCTCTTGAACTCAGTCCGTGTAAGGGGGACCTCACAATCAGTTACTGTGAGCTTAGATATCATGGAAAAATCTTGGAACTAGAGCGACGATACGCGGGCAAAATCCGGTTGTGATGTCCGTTTTTCCAGGAGTCGCGGAAACGCCGGACGGAACCACGCTTGATTCCAGTTTCGCATTCAACCTTGCGGACTGGAAGGAAGTCGTCGATCGACTCGGCTGGAATATTGTCGCTGTGTCCTCGGCCAATCAGCGATTATTAACAGTTGTGTTACTGAATATTTATTATTGGGGGATAGGGCAGGGCGATGGTCAAAAATAGCTCGAGGAACTTCGGTAAGATGAACTAGGTCTGTTGATGAAAGTGGTGTACTCCGATGCCAAGAATCTATTTTGTTTGTGGTGGAGATAATTTCTAAATATTTTGTCTTTTTGTTTCAGGAGCCCATGGTTCGAACAAAAGTTGTTGTAGCCTTATATCCTTTCAAAGCCATCGAGGGTGGAGATCTCTCTTTAGAAAAGGTAACTGATGTCTGCTCATATCTCTCATTTTAAATGACTGGAATTTTTTTTCTTTAAATGAGACGAGAGAAATTTTTGTTTTAAATGAATTTAAAATAAACTCAAAATTTAAGATAGATTTAAAAATAAATTTATTTCAAAGGTGTCCCAACATTGTATATCATGCCTTGGAGTATAACGTAGTCGAATTTTGAACTTTTGAATTGTGAGCATGTATGAGTGAATATGAATCTATCTGCACCATTTTTGTTAGTTTGAATTACTTCAAAATAAGCAGCAAAGCATCTTTGATTTTTAGTTTTCCAAGGTACCCGGGTTATAGACTTCAAAAAATAACTGGAGGACATGTGAATCTTCAAATTTTCCTGTTTACTTCCTGTTTTCCCTCTGGCAGTGACATGAAGGTCACTAAAAATAATTTTAACCATGAAGGAAAAACAGAAAATTTTTATTTTATCAATTTTTTTATTTTTATTTTATATATTCTGGCTGTGACATGGTGGTCACTGAAAATAATTTCAATCATGAATAAAAGACAGAAAATTATTATTTTTCTCTCCTTCTTTAATGCATTATACTCAAAGACATCGAATCACGTAGACTGTGCGTCCCACTCGGTTTAGTACAGGTGGAGCGAAGCAAGTCTCACAGAGCGCCATGATGGGCCGGCAGGGAAGGGGAGAGAGAGTGTGTCCTAAGCACTCAAAGAGATTGCAGAGAGGCAATGGAGAATTCATTCCTGCGCTCGGTTTTTCACGAGTATCTCGTTTAGAGTCCATTTTCAGACAGAATTCCTATGAAGAAAAGTTTTAGAACATATAATTTTACACCCGAATAGCATCGTTTCATTTTTCCGAACTAATTAATAACCGAGGAAAAAAGCCTCACAATCCGTCAAAAATTCACTGGAGCCACCCTTGCGTATGCGCAGGTGTGAGCAATTGGGACACCTGAACTCATGGATGCGGGTCGGTGCCACCACTCATCGGCATGTGAATTTTTAAAAGTTGTCTCGCCTTCCGTAACACAGGATGTATGGTCTATGTGATTCAATGTTTTTGATTATACCACGTCAAATTTGCACAAACAAATTAACAAAAAATTTGGGTTTCAGGGTGCTGAGTATCAAGTGTTAGATGATTCTCAGGAACACTGGTGGAAAGTCAAGGACCAGCATGGGTAACTATCACCTTTTATTTTTTGCACCTTTCGATGCGTATTCGTCTCCTTTTTTTTCATCAGTCCTCCCCCCCTCCGCCTTCCCCCCCTCCGCCTCCCCCCTCTCCTCCTCCTGCTTAATCAATGTCTTTATTGTATTGCCCGATGTGTTTTGACTAGTTTGCCCACTTTTCTAAAGAATTACCCTTACTGTAAGAAACTGTTTACCAAGATAAGATACCTCAATCAGACAACTCTAATTTGAGCTGAGGAGACTATCTGCTGCTTGATGGGTACAAGTGTTTCCAATGAATGCCCTATCCAACTTTCAGTTGCTTCAGATAATTTTAGAGTTTCAGAACTGTCCAGAACAAATAGGATTTCTAGCTATTAAGTAGATTGTCATCAAAATACGAGTATTAAATTTAAAAAAAAAGAAGATCAATACAACTGAAAATAACATTATGAGTTTACAAATTGAAGCTCTCCAATCTTATGGATGCTATTACTTAATATATGTAGATCAATTGATAAAACCGTAGGAGGTTATGCTCTCATTTTTGCAAATAGCAGTTCTTTGTCAATAGTTTGAAAAAACTTACCTACCTAATGTTCGGACAAACAGCATCACAGGTTGCCATTCGATGATATTTAACTATTGAAAACATTTTGTGAAACTGGCAACTCGTCTCATCTTTACTTGTAATTTGTTAAATTATAATGTAACCTTGTTGTAATTGCAACTTCAACGAACTTGCAGCTAGTTCGATGACGTTAGATACACGTCGAATGTGTATTGCACCTTAAAACACCAAGGTTTAAAGGAAACAAATTCTCCCCCTAAAACCAAAGCATAATTTTTAACTTAAAATGATTTGCAAAAATGTAGCACATGCTTGAATTTCTCATTAACGTCTCTGTTTGTTTGTTTTTTAGGTCTATCGGTTACATTCCCAGCAATTATGTGAAAGAAAAAGAATTATTAGGATTACAAAAATATGAGTAAGTAAATGCTTTTATACTTGTATGTTTACTGCAATTTGTAGTTTCCCATCTCATCTATAATGAATCAGTTATGTGTAAAAGTGGGTGATAGTTGAAATCGTTTAATCATTGATAATTTTTGTTGAGGAGAAATTCTTCTGTAAAAGCACCAGAATTTTCCACCCTCCGTTTACCAATACTATGGGTCATACATACTATATGTTACCAATACTTTCAACCAAAAGTCAAAGGCAACTTAAAAACCAGATTAAAATACACACAGTATGTAAGGAACTGCTATTTTCACTCTCGTTTTTTACCGCCAAATCGTGCTTTAGCAACTTCTCAAGCCACAATTGACAGCTGAGTCACTCAAGGCAGTTGATGGTGATGGTTGAGAAAGCTGCTAAAATAAACATTTACCTTAAAAAATCGAAACAAAAGTTATAGTTTCATCATTGTGTGCATTTTAGTAATATCTTCTTGCTGTTCATCAACAGTTAATTTGATATTGTGTTGTTAAGTATTGACCAAAGAAAGAAAGTTCTTTCAAATCCAATTTCAGGAATCCATCAAACGTACTCTTGTTTTCAATGGTCGATTAGAATTTTATTGATCTCAGCTTTTCTTTGGGTAGTTAGAGTAATTAATTTATTAAACTCATCCACAACGCTCCAATTTTTTTTACAGGTGGTATGTTGGTGACATGTCAAGACAAAGGGCAGAGTCCTTGTTGAAACAAGAAGATAAAGAAGGCTGTTTTGTAGTACGAAATTCCTCCACAAAAGGATTGTACACTCTCTCATTGTATACTAAAGTGTAAGTAATCAATTTCATTTTGCATTTTTCTCAAAAAGGGATTGAGATGAAGTGAATCTGAACCAATTTTTAAAATAGTGTACCAAAATTCAAAGAACTTGAATAAATTGCTTCATAATTTTTCTATTTTAATAAGTCAATAAATTGAACTACCAAAATTATTTTCTTAAAATACTTCGAAATGCTACACCTAGAGCAATTTTTGTTTGCAAAAAGTGATTAAGAAACATCCGATTTTATATTATTTGTTTTTATTGTATTTTTCAGACCCCACCCGCATGTCAAACACTACCATATCAAACAGAATTCAAGGGCAGAATTTTTCCTATCTGAAAAACACTGTTGCAATAGTATTCCAGACTTAGTTAACTATCATAGGCACAATAGTGGTGGACTTGCATCTAGACTGAAAACATCTCCTTGTGATAGACCTGTGCCAGCGACTGCTGGTCTTAGTCATGGTAAGTGCCTTTAGAATATCATGAATCTTTATATAGGAAAAAAAAAAAACAGCCCCCTTCCTTCACATAATTTTTCAATTCTTCAAATTATACATTTCTAATTGAGTGCGCTTCTTCTCCTCTTTTTTCTAACAAATTTCCAGGAGACAGAGAAGTTAAGTCAATTATAATTTTCTGCACCCTATCTGATCCCTCAGGAACGCTCTATTTCGTATTCTGCACTCACTTGCTTATAGTCCTAAAGTTTTAAACGTAGACTTATTTTTAAAATTTTTCTAGGCAAAGCTCCTCTTTTGCAGCTTAATAATTTTGATAGATCAACCCTAATACATGTCCAATTTATTCAGAAAGGGAAGTATCAATAGAAGATGTATGTTCTTTGGGAAATTAACTAAAAAAAAATCCCTTGTATTGGTGAAGGACGTCTACTCAGATTTTTACTATAAAAATAAGCTTTCAAACTGATTTTCTTTGTTCCTTTTTTCCAGATAAGTGGGAAATTGATCCTGCGGAGCTCATGTTGCTGGAAGAGTTAGGTTCTGGACAATTTGGTGTTGTACGACGCGGCAAGTGGCGTGGATCAATCGACACGGCTGTAAAAATGATGAAAGAAGGCACCATGTCGGAAGATGACTTCATCGAAGAGGCTAAAGTCATGACGTAAGCTAAATATATTGATAATGTCATGTTTAAACTAAGGCTCTAAATTATTAGTTTTTCCTTTCCAACCTTGCCTCATACTATGTGGGTATCTATTTTATTAACATTTTTTAGGCCAATAATGGTAATATATGTGTCAGATGTACGCGCCAAAATATAGTCAAATTGTGGTGAACCACAGAGGAAACTCAACTTTGTTAACCTACATGATTTCGTGTCAATACCTCTAAAACAACTTTTTTTAAAATTGAATCAGGCGCTGTCCGTTATCTATTAAATGCTGCTTTTTTTTAAATATACGTTTCCCAATCTAAGTATGGGGTTCAAAGTTTTTCTTTTTCTCTTTTAATTGTTGTTGGTAATACTCATCATCAATTAGAACCAGAATGTACCAAGTTAGGGTCTCAAATTTAATTCAGTATCTCTTACTGACATTAATTTCAAAAGGTCAAAATGTTTTACTCTTGCCTCATGCAAAGAATGTGTCTTGTATTACTCACGTTTATATTTTTTTTCTTTGTGCTTCAGAAAACTTCAGCATCAAAACCTAGTCCAACTATATGGAGTCTGCAGTAAACATCGACCAATTTATATTGTCACTGAGTATATGAGACATGGATCTTTGTTGAATTATCTTAGGCGGCATGAAAATACTTTGGGAGGTAATGTTGGCCTCCTCCTGGACATGTGTATTCAAGTAAGTACTTTGTTACAAATTATAAAGAACCTATATCAACATAATTCAAGCTTATTTTTAGAATGCAAGATGGTAAGAGATCATTTTGAGAGGGAAAAACAAGAAGTAAGTTTTTGTATTTAGTATGTCCCTCAATGTTCATTACCATTTTTAGGTGTTTTTTTTTCACCTAGCATATTTTTGTGTACTATTGAATGCTCTCAGTTGCCACTTTTGCTGGAAAAAAAAAAAACCGTTAGCTGGCTGGAAAGATTTGCGCAGCTGAAGAATGGATAGCCTAGCTTATTCAAAGCTCAAGTCGTTTGTCTCCAGCGTGGAAGGATGTGCTAGTGTAAACAAAGCCACAAAAGAAGTGAAAAAATTTTATATTGACTTATTTTAGCGTGAATTATTTTAAATCATCTCATGCTCTAATTTTTTTATTCGCTGTAAGTGTACCTAAGTTATGTTAGGTTTCATTTCCATCCCCTCTCAAAAGATCTTCTCTTCAGTCAGGGAACTGAAAAGAGTCTAGTTTGTTGTGAGGAAAGAGGAGGAGGTTATGATAAAATTATCAGTTTTGCTGAAAAATTCTTTAGATTTCTTTTTTCTTAACAAACTCAGATTTAAATCCAAATTGCAGTTAATTTTTCAATTGAATGTAGAACTCTTCATTCACACTGCTTCACAAGTAACTCTTCTAAAAATTCAGGGCAAGATGCACCGTGTCTGAATTTTTATAATTCATTCTTTACTTTTCTCTTCTTACAGGTTTGTAAAGGAATGGCTTATCTAGAAAGACATAACTACATTCATCGGGATTTGGCAGCGCGGAATTGTCTTGTTGGATCTGAAAATGTTGTGAAAGTAGCTGATTTCGGCTTGGCAAGGTATTTTACTTATTCTATTTATTTTTTCAGGTTAAAAAATGAGCTCAGTAGAACTCCAGTTTTATAGAAGATACATACATACGTAATTTAACAAAAACCGAAGATTTCATAAATTCGAGCCATTCCAGGTCTGCTTGAATTAAAGTTTTTATTAGACATTCTTATTTTTTCTCAGTAGAGCAAGGTATTCTCAGTTCTAATTGAATGAATCTAAAAAGAACTTAGTGCTATTAAAAACACACAAACGGAGTTGAAAATTTTTCAATGTTAGATTGTGTAAACTAGTAGATTGCAGTCGATGAACATGTCTTTATACCTGCAAATGTCAAAGAGAAGTCATTGACCTCCCATTTTTTCCACTCCGAATATGGATTTTTCATTGATGCTCGCAACAACCTGTCAAGGTTTCTTACCTAGCAATGACCTCAGTGATGAGACTTGAGTCTTATGTCGTAGTCTTTCGTTGCTTCTTTCACTCCTCTTCTGTTCATCAACCATGTTTATTCTCTCTGAGTGTGATTAAAATAATGCATGTCTAATATGTATTTGTTTGTAATGTTTTTTAGATATGTATTAGATGATCAGTATACAAGTTCCGGTGGCACAAAGTTTCCTATAAAATGGGCTCCTCCAGAAGTTCTTAATTACACCAGGTTCTCCTCCAAATCGGATGTTTGGGCTTACGGTAAGTTTCTATCCTCTGAACATTTATATAGTATTTATTCTCATCGATCAGTGTATTCCATTCAGCAGAAATATACCCAGGTATGAAGATGATTCCTCCAAACTTTGAATAGTTTGCTTTTGTAGAAAACCTTTGAGAAAGGAAAAAATCTATGCTATGCTAAAAAAAAATGTCTCTGTTTGGGCCCAAATGAACATAATTGAATAAAAAAGAAGTACTTTCACTGTGACAAAAGCCATGACACCCATAAAAATAAATGCATGACAGGGCTCTTGTCGTCATAAAGATAGTTTGTTTTGACTTAAATGCGTCCAAATTACCAGAGAAATGATGGTGGATGAAACTGCAGAAAGTTGTGTATGCTTCAAGTTCACAACAAAATATCAGCTGCTGTATCAAATTTTAACATGGTGCATTCCATGGAATCATACATTTGTACCTAGGTTACCATATTATTTCTTATTTAGCTTTACTCTTATTTATAATTTGTTTGCTCTTTTCTTTGTAGGTGTTCTCATGTGGGAAGTATTCACCTGTGGTAAAATGCCTTATGGTCGTCTAAAAAATACTGAAGTCGTTGAACGAGTTCAAAGAGGGATCATCCTTGAGAAACCGAAAAACTGCTTCAAAGAAGTTTATGAGGTATATATCTGTTTGTCATTAAAATGGTGTAAAAAAATTTACTTTAAGAGGTCTCTCCTTGGCTGCTACAGAGGGTGCTCAGCGGTATCAAATAGCCTGGGATTATGATTCAAAACTTGAAAACGGCAGGCCAACCAAGAGATTATCACCTGTTAATAATTGGATTCTTACTGTCAAATATCTAGACATTGGAAAATTTTGCTGCCACGATTCGCCGCAAAATTTTTAAAATGTCCTTAGGAATCTGAAAACCAGACAGAAGCACCAATCATAACCCTCTGATCACGAAAATCTAAAGCGAAATAACGCAAAATGGGCCATTTTCCGGATTTATCGCGAAATCGCGTGGAATCTGCAAAATCATCCAAGTTTATCCGGGAAACGCGTACATTTTAGTGAAATTTACGTATGTATGCGTGTAATTTGCCGCACTTTTTCTCAAAATAAGAAATTACGGAATTGTTTCTGAGCATTGGTCGTCATTGGCTACTAGCTATCAACGTTTGCCAATGGCATCAAAATACTGATGAAAGAAATGGCGGCAACCAGGGCATAAACATAACCTCAAATAGTTTTAACATGTGATTGTGTGAAAGCTTTATTTTAAGCTGCCAAATGCATAAAGCGCTAGAAAAATAACAGCGAAATCAGCTAAAATAACCGCAAAATTCGGGAAAAATAACCGCAAAATCGGGGAAAAATAAAAGCGAAATTTTCCAATGTCTACAAATATCATCACCCTCATAGGTCTGTAGGCATAAATGAGGCAAAAAGTGAAAATTTGAGGAGTCGAAGAGCTTAAATTAATGCTTATGAACTATTATTAATAGCCACAATTTTAACTTGAGAAGAATTTCATGGATCAGGCATGACAGGGTCATTAAGTGTGTGATAATCCTGCCTTTTGGTATCTTACTCTCTTCTTCTAATTTATGGCTGCAATGGCTCATTCTCATTTTTTTTTTTTTTTTTTTTTTTTTTTTTTTTTTTTTTTTTTTTTTTTTTCAGGTCATGCGACAGTGTTGGTCCCAGTTCCCTGATGATAGGCCATCCTTTAGAAATCTTAAAGAACAATTGTCCGTAGTATCGCAGGTATGTTTGATTTTCATTTGGAGTTTTTACCAATGATAGGTGTCTAGTTATCCTCAAATACACTCTCTAACAGGACAATTTTTACTGTGTTTTCACCCTGGAAAAAGGAACTTCATCATTTTAAATTGTCTATTACATAACAAAGCTGTATCGCGTTTGCATTTTCAGGATTTTGTAAAGATAATAGTCATTCTTGAACGGAGTGGCGTAAGAAGTGAGAATGTCTCGTGCTCCACTGCGACCGAGAGACTAAAAACACGTATATTGAAGTTCTCAGCTGCTCAAATTTTCTGTAATTTTTTCATTTGACAGCTGATGAAGCATTATCAGAGCAAGACATTGTGTGTGATAACTTGGCCTTTTTTCAATTATTCTTTAAAAATTGTGTGCAAGAGAGTCAGGTAGTATGCTCTGGAGGAGGTACAGTAAGAAGAAAAAAATGATCAGTCATAATCTAAACAACTATCGATAGCTACAGTGTGAAACAACATACCCACATTTATTTTTCACAAAAAAAATAAATTAAGTAGGACGTAGTCTACAGACTGTACAATCTGTAGAAAGTCTACAACATCATAAATGGAGATACGTTGTTTAGCACTTTGACCATCCATATGTGTTCCTTGTATCCATCATTTATTGGCTGTCCGCAACTGCTTCAACATCATTTCTGAGTGTTGAGCATTAAGATAGAGCATTATGGAGCTCTAAAAAATATTGTTTCTTTACTGCAAGGTGCATCAAAAATTTAGTCTATTTTTTTCTTTTTCTTTTTCATCAATTACCATTGAGTCCTACTTATAATCGCAACTTCCAGTAGGTGTGATCAGAAATACCATTACAATCTGCTTTAGACTGCAAAATCCAATTTTTAAAAAAAAAAAACAATAAAATACAAGCCAATAGTTGAAGGTGCGATAAATTTACCTAATACAACCATTAATTATTTGTATATTCTACTGTTTTTCAGGGATTACTAGCGGATTGATTAAACGCGCTTCATCAAGCTGCGAAAGGTGCTTCAAATTGTCCGCTTTGTGCTTTAATTGGTTCTGACCATCACTTTATTGCATTATATAAAACTTTACAAATCAGCAAACATAAAAATCATTTAGGAACTCTATAATTCCATTTGTTAAAAGTCATTTGTATCTTTGTAATTTTTTATTATTGTAATTTCTTTTACTTTTTTATTTTTATTTTTCTTTAAGTTTTTTCTAATTTGTTTTAAATTCTTCGACAATTCTACTGTTGAATAATCAGTATTCCTACTTTCAATACTCAGAAATTTTAATTTGCATTTGAATCAACTACCTAACGAAGAACAATCAAGTCTTTTAATATCGAACAATCGCTTAAATCTGAATACTTACTTTTTCTCTCAGGACTTTCTCAAATTCCCTGACTGATCTGTCATTGTGGACTTGTGAATTGTTGTGGTGCAAGACATTGAATCGAGAACTTTACATTCGCCTCAAAGGCAGCAGTATTACTTGCCGTAGCACAAGAGGGCTCTGCTCTTTGCTTTTTAATGTCATTTTTGTTAGATAATACTAAGCATCAAACAGTATTAGCCTATTGAGTGCCCCTCCCCCATTTTGCCAAGGAAGTGAGTCTTTCACTGGCAAGGAGATGATTTAATGTTGAAATAAGTCATTCTCTGGGTCATAAATTTTAATTCCTCCCCTTGTCTTTAGAAACCAGACCCATCGTCATGAAACAGACCATAAACTGCATTCACTTGATTTTACAAAACAGTAGAAAGTAAATTCAACAATGAGAGCTAATATAAAATAAAGCATTGCTTTATTGCTGTCTTCTCGGACGAACAGATAGTAGCATCATTGTATTTATAGATTTGCATTACTAGAATGAACTGGTTTGTTTTTCTTTTGTGGCGTTGAAAAGTCAAGGTTTTAATATGATTGCTATTTTACTAACTCCTAAACTTCACTTGGCAAGGGGTATCTTGATACAATGGAGAAAAAAACAAAGAAAATAAATAATTGCACAAGTATGTCCTTTTTCATGAGTTATCGAGCATCTGTTTTTACTGCCACATACACGTATGTAATTTTTATAGGTTTTCATTGTAAATGTTAAAATTTATTGTGATTAATAATGCTCTTTCTCTTTTACCAGACTTCTAAATGTAAGCACATTCCCATAAATGACTCAAAAAGATTCAAATCCACAAAAAAAGCTATCTCTATTTGCTAAAAAAGCCTTCACAAAAATCAAAAATTTCTCCTGCTTTTTCTTTTTGTCACCAATTCGTCTCAAACTCTAAATTGTTTGTATGAAAAAAGAATTTTTACTCTGCAATAGAAAAATACCGCTTTCCTAAGCACTAGAAAAATTTACTCATCAGTTTGAAGATGATTGAGAAAAGGCACAAAGACCTAACACTTGAGATTTTTGCGAGAGATTCTACTCATTCTCTAGACAAACAATCTTTTAGACTCATTCCTTCAATAATATGTTTTTCTTCCTTTTATTAGGCAAATAGACTCTAGGATTTTCATCTTCTGTGCCAAATTATGTTATTTTATCTTTAAGTTCAGAGAATGGAGGTTTTCCATTATGAAAATTGCAGGGTAAAATACAACAAAGCTATGCATACATTTAAACGAAATTAGGCTCTTAGAATTTCAGCAATCGCAGACATTTATGACATTCAATTTGCGAATCATAATGGAATATCCATTGATTTCAAATAGTAATCTCAGTAAAATTAGAGAATATCATGGAATAAACCAAATTGAAAGATGGCAAGTGGTGAAAGCAATATATCAAGTCATCATGAAATGCGCCATACAATATCTAACTTACTTTAGATTATAACACCATCTACATCACTCGAGAACTCTGTAAATAGCTACTTGGGCAAACAACTTTTCCCTCTGCATTATGAATTAAAATTAACATTTTGTAATTCTGCCCTAAATCTATTTGAAGTCATTCTTATCCCAACTTTTTTGAATTGCAAGACAAGTTCTTTTCTGTAGATTGGAACTGTACCTGTAGGACAGTTATGTTAATGAAACCAAAGGATTCATGTTCACTTCATCAATTTTTGACAAAAGTCCAGGAAATTTTCCCGTTGCCCTCCTCTCAAAATCTTTGTGACAGTGAATATTTTTTCTCACATATTTTTAATATTGTTATTAGAGTCAAACAATTATACAGATTGAGCTTATTAGTCTTAAATTTTTGTCAAAATCTCTCTGTATCATGTATCAATCAAGTTAGCTGTATCATAGCTGTATGATTTGCATTGAAACTTGTGCCAAACTCATAAAATGAGGTGCATATTTTCCCTTATTCCTTGAAGAAAGTTACTTGCATTTCTTTAGACTAAGAATATTTTAAACGAAAGATTGTCTTTCAAGAGCTACTGTAAAGAAATTCAATTAGAAAGCTACCATATTAGTGAATATTGTCAGACGAAGCTGTAAAGCTAAGTCCTTTTATTACTAATGTAGCGCATCAGGAAAACTTAATTGGTGACTTGATAGTCACTTAGGTAATTAATGAGCATGCTCAGTCGAATGAATCAGGCAATTATTTGAGCTACATTCTTTTTGTGTTTGTTTTCTAGTTCGCGGTCAGCCCAGGTATTGATGCCCCTTCAGAGGTCAACAAGGGCGTAGTGAATCTTTTTGGCATTGGTTTAGACGGCAGAGTAGCCGCACTTCAAATAGACCAAAAGCCTCTTATCGTCTCCCTTCCTTCAGGAAAGTAATTAGAGAGCTCTTGAAGGGGGAAAAGAATTACCTTTCATGGTGTTATTAAAGTGAATCAGTGGGTTTTACATTCACCGCAGAAGCTTTACGAACTCTTGTAAAGCATGTGCAATGTTCTTTTTGCATTTTATGTGATACAAACTCATGTCATTAAGACTCAGTCTTTTCAAGTTCTCATAGTTCTAATAAGTAATTATGAAATGTATTAGAGCAATATGAAACTGCAACAAAAAAATAGAAGGCACCAAAACGATCATCATAAACACAGTATTATACCAGTCAGATTCCTTCCTCTATCCAAGAAACCATTGCAAATGTAAACCAGCAGAAAGTCTTTTTTATCGGAATTTTTGTTTTTAATAATAATTGATCGCTGACGCCATCAAACATATTTATCCATTGCCTATCAGACTAGCTGTAACATCATGTTACTTTTAGGTAGCTCTGTCAAGTTGAAACCAGCCCTAAAACTTCTAACACATTCCTCTGTAAGTGAAATTCTGTAGACCAAGAACTCAAAAAGTTGTTCATGCGCGAAAAAATTTGTATTTTGTGGCCTCTGTTGTACTCGATAAACAGTGAGCATTTTGGTTAATATGTAAAATTTGTTTTGTCTTTCTTTTAGATTATGTGTATTTTTATTTTATGCTTTATAAAGTACCTAGTTTTGATCTCAAGTAGACTTTGTTTTGGAATTGTGATTTGTACCTATTACTGCAGTGTTTTAACCCGGATTCAGTCACTTGGTTTTTCTCCTGCGTAAAATATTAAAGTTTTGGATTGATTTTTGTACTGCCTAACCTGCAGAGTGTGGTGTTGATTGTACAAACCGACAGTCATAGGATCAGAATACGTGACTCCGCTTTCATTGCCTGTTTAAATGTGCCCTTCCAAGCAGACTTTTTAGTTAGAAAAAGCAATCAACTTTGAAAGAAGGTCCAAATTTATTGCACTCTCAGTTAGACAATTTAGCAGATGGTATACACATACTTCTGTTATCTAAGGTGCAGCTAAGGAGCTCAAAAGATCTAGAGACTTGAGACCCAAAGTAGGCATATTTTAGCCAGCACATTAGGCTTAAAATTGTTAAAAATATGTATCATGGATTCACATTAGAACTGAAAACACTTTGATATTCTCTCTAAAAAGTACCAATATACATTATGTCAATTTGATTGAATTTAGAGGCAGATATTTTCCTTGATTTAAGCTGATACTCTCAAATATATTTATTTACAGTCATCTGCTAATCAAGCAAACCGAACAGCTTAAGCTATCTGCATTCGTTTAGGAGGCAATAAACTTAGGTCCCTGGACTTTTTCAGTTTGCACAGCGTTAATGGTCAATGAAAAATGAGTCAATTAAAATGATCCTGAAGCGTTATCTACTTGATCTTGCAGGGCAATAAAAATTCATGAGGTCATGGAAAAAAAATGGCTCAGTTCTTCTTCATCGGCATATGCTGAGAAGGTAAATGCATAATTAATTTGCTACACTCTTTTTTCCTCTGAACTACGTACTATTTAAAACTAATTTTCTTGTTGTCTTCAGGTAGATTAAGAAAGCTTTTTATCAATATTTCCGGAATAAATGATCTTTGAGAACTTGGGGGCACTTTTGTATGGTGCCTTAAGCTTAACAGCAAGGAAGTGGACGTTCAAATCTTGATGACCATGAAAATTTTTTCTTCGGGAACTTGGGACCCCTCCTATGGTACATAGGCAAAACTTTTTTTTTTCTCCAAAAGTATTCCTCCTTTCCTCTCAGAAGGATCATCATGAGTTTTGGTACGAGTCAATGGTTTTTTGAGACATCAGTTCTCTGGTTTAATCATCAGAAAGTAAAAGATTGGACCACCGATTTTCAGAACGAGTTCGAAAAATACCTTGGTTGGTATGAAACATAAGTGATGGGATGTATGTAATGAACAATTTTTCTGAAATAAAGTTGATGTTTTAGGGTCGTTGATTATGAGAGAGTAAATCTTGTGTGATGGTTTTTTTGGATGGTTTCTTTCATTATTCTTGTTTGTTCATTACCAATTTTCCTCAGAGGGGTTTATCGTGTTTCACTTCTCCTCTCTTCATGACCCAAACAAGTTTCTTTTGGACTTCAAGAAAAAATGTATTTCATGTGCCCAAATTCTATTTAATGACAAGAAAGAACAGAGGAAAAAAGATGAAAGAATCTACAGTCTGTAGATCTTGAAAATTTATTGTGTTACCTTTAAAAAATTGAAATCATTTTGATTGAATTCCACTCGCTCATTTATAATTATTTTAACTGCTCACGTTAAGAACCAAATTAATCCTTCTGTGCTTCAACACTCACATTTTTTGTGATTTTAGCTCAAAAAAGTTGAAGCTAGCATTTCAGACAGATGAGGAAGAAATGAATTATTTCGATCCATGATAAAATAATTCCTGACATTATTAGGAATCAAGTCTTACCTATAGGTACATCATTTTTTATTTTCTATTATTAATTTATGATATAAAATGCAACGGTTTATTTTAATTTTAAATATAATGGATCTTGCATTGAATGTGAAGAGACGAACAAATTATTCAGAAATGGCGTTGTTAATTATTCGTGTCAAACTCATACTACATCATCCTCTACTGAGAACATTTATTAACACTCCACAGCGTCCCTCAAACAATGTTACACATAATCCTTTGAACTTCTAAAATATTTTTTAAATATGCTATTAATGACAGTTATTCATTATTTTTGGGGAAAAAGTTTCCTCCCCAACTCATACCTTCATTAATGTAAGGGTAGTGACTTTCCAGAAACTTATTTGTTTTGAATTCTACAAAGCAAATGGACAAAAATCTGTATATAAGCATTGTTATGCTGTTTATCTACTCAGTATTGTTTTTACTGCAATGTTTGTACTGATTTATATCTAAGATATTCAATAAATATTGGTAGAAATTCACATTTTTCCCATTTGTTTTTATTTCTCCATCATTTTATTTTTAGTTCTTCAAGGGTCGTTCTGAAAGAATCAAGAATTATGTAACGAATCTGTCTCAGAAAGATACTTTTATTTGACTCAATTTCCGCCAAGTTTCAGGAAAGGAAACTGTGCATTTGAAATGCTGCTATAATTGTATTTCATGAAAAAAAATCGTTCTTTTCTTGCACCATAAAAAAAAAAAAGTTCCAAGTTCTCAAATTCGATACCTAATACTGTTTTAGTTTTGTTATGAATTTCCTTCCAGAAAATTAGTAACAAGTAAAATATGGTTATTACTTTCGATTTATTCAAATTATTTGAGAAACAGAAGAACTCAGTGCATCAACCTAACAACTTCTATGAAGACTACAAATTACACCTGACTTGTTTGACTTGATAAATGATAGGTACCACGATAGAAATAAATGTCTTTACTGCAAAAACTGAGGCAAAGGATTGCTGAAATTGAGGCTTTCATCTTCGATAATTGGAATATTTTGGCCTTTGAATCCTCCCTTGAAGAAGAGGTGCCAGTACCTACTGCAAAATTGAGAATTTGGAACTAGTTGAGGATGTGCTGTTAGGAGGATTAGTATATCGAATATTTTTAAGTTGATAAAAAAGATTAAAGTACAGTACTCTCTCTCTGAAACGGCCTTCAAGGGACCGGAAGGTTCATCCAGTACAGAATCGGATTCACTGGGTTGCCACATCCGTTAAATAGAGGGAAAAATACATGTATTTAGTATAGGAACGTCGAGGGACCGGTGGATACATCCCTTACAGAGAGTACCATTAAAGAAAGTACTGTATCTTTCAATTAATTAAAACAGTCTGAGGGCATCGGATAAATAAGTTGGAGTAATACTGCTGATCTCATGGAAATGTAATACTGTGCATTCAGAAACGAAGTCGGGTTGGGCACAAAAATAAAAATGTATTTAAAAACAATATTTACACAGTATTGTTCACAAACAGGTGGGTGGGCATAGCGTCCATGAAAAGGTACAAATTTATCATCTGGTCATTACAGTTTAACACAAAGTAAATTTTGGTGCAGTCAAACCTCATCAGGGATCATTTAGTTTTAACCAGCCCATCATGTAATCAATTTACTATAAAACTAATAGCACATGCATATTATGGATTCAAAGCCAAAGATGATTGATACAATTTTTAGGCGATTAGTTTCTGTCCATGCCAAATAAGTTTACATACTGTTTGTGAGACGGAGGGTCTGCCATTTTGATAATGCATTGTGCTTACTTTCAATGCTAAACTGAACGGCAGATGTTCGTGCGTAAACTCATTTGGCATAAACTATACACAGAGTCGGAAGTAAAACCCATGATGGAATTTAATCATTCCTTTTCCGTTTCTTGGAAGAGGAGGCTCCTGTTGGCATCTGTTGCTTATTCTTGGCATCTTTGTCATCAGGATCCCATAATGCATTCCTCACAAATCTTTTAGCTGCTCCCTGATCGACCTTCGGCATTGATTTTCTTTCTTCAGCCTTCTTGGCTTCGGCCATTTGACCCTTGACTCGGTCGAGTTCCTTCTTGATTCCATGGTCATTGGGATCATGACCTTGAGTCCTCAAATAGAGCCAAAAAAGTGAATTCAATGAGTAAGAGAGGAATATATCATACTTGACTTTATGTTCGCTGTCGAGCTGATTGTAGATATCACTGTCGCACATTGTTTTTAGAGTATCGCCAATCTTCGAAACACTGTCACTGAAACTTGTGACTGACTTCTTAAGAGATTCATCGTTGCTCAGCTCTCCAAAATTGATTATTTCAGAGGTTTCTCCCGTCATGATGGCTACGTTACAGATGATTGAGTCCTTGCACACACTTGACCATACCTAAGTAAGTCAACAGAAACTGCATTCAAGACGAAAACGAACGGAAAAACTTGATGGCACTATACACTTTGAGACAGAATTGTTCTTTCGTACGTACTGATGGATGAATCAATAAGATATAATTATTTGGGATAAAGACTAAAAATGGGACATGCAACAACGGCATGCGGTTACTAAAAATATAACCTCAAAAACTTGTATGTTGTTGTTGTTGTGTTTAGGTTGATTGGCCTAATTCCGCCTTGCAAGAGTGAACAGATTGGCCCAGATATTCCGGACCACATTTCACCAAAAACTGCTGTTTGTCAAACCGCCGTCAACACCTACCAAGCGGCGAGTAGGCCTACGGCCATGCTCGGCAATCTTCGTAGCCAATCAGGTTGCCGCTCGCCGCCCGTAATCTCGAAGAAGGTTCGGCTCCTCTCTAGGGATGTCGATACTCAGGAAAGTATCGATACTCGGTATCGATACTAGTATCGACTCTAAGCATCGATACCGGTATCGAGCATCGAGCTGAAGTATCGATACTCATGAGGTATCGATACCATCGATACTATTTCTGAATTATACCGTGATTCTGAGTGTGAGTAGGTATGTCTGTCGGCCGTTGAATTCCGCCTAAATTCCGCCAGATTTACGCCTCTCTCGAAACAGCCCTGTTCGCGTCCTTAGTCAACTATTTTGAGCCCTTAACTACAGTTATCGAACTGAGCTTTTTTTTTTTTTTTTCTGATGTTTAATGGCTTTGTGACTAAAACTGAGCTTTTAACATTGTTAACGAAAGTAATCATCTTGAGAAACTTGATTACTCCGTCGTTTGTCACAGTGCATCATGAAGGTGAAATAGTGGGGAGAGAATTTTTTAAAAAAGAAAAAGAGGCCTTCTTCATGGCCAAATCAGATTAAGTATCGATACCGTCGATACTGGGGTCTTGGCATCGATACTGCATGGTATCGATATCGTGGAGTATCGATGCCGAGTATCGCTAAGTATCGATCGAAAGTATCGATACTTTGCAAGTATCGGATAAGTATCGACATCCCTA